AATTCTTCAATATTTATACTGCTTAAATTATTAAAACATTTTTCTTCGATACCCGACAGTGAATCGGTTTTCTTGTTTAATTGTTTTTGAACCTGTGTTGACATGTTGTGGGTTTCAATTCCAAACACCCTAACTAACACCCTACAGTCTCTTTACACTCACAGTAAAATTCAAAGTGATGATTTAGCTTTTCTTATGATACTGTGATTGGTTTAAATTTGTTGACGTTTAAAAGAAAAAAACATCTAGAGAGAATTCCATGAAGTCTAACGGATATTTTTGAATTTTTATTACGTTTCGTTTTATCCCCAATTTATTTAATACTTGGGTGCATGAACAGTTCCATCCACCTCAATAACAACAACCATAATTTTAGCAACTTATGTTTTATATGTAGTATTTAACCCATGTGAGTACAACATTTTTAACATGATTATTATAAGTTTTTAAATAATAATCAAACAGCAATTAGACGTACAAATATTTATTTTTTTCAATTAAAAATGAGTTATAATACGTTATATTATTCATCTTTTTACAATAATTTTAGTAATATTGTCGTTTTCTATTATTAAACAGTTGATTCGAAAAACCCGTTACAACTTTGAATATCATCAACATCATCGTAAATATTCTCGAAGTGATTTTCCAAAAGATCTGGTTCGTTATCGTTGTTTCTAAAAATTTTTAATTTAATTTAGTTTTATACAATAAACAAACCAAGTAAAGTATTTACCTAATATTTTCATTTGTCATTTGCATAATATCCTGATTGGTTTGATGTTTGAAATCCACTATGAATTGTTCCCAAATACGTTTAATAATACATTTATAATCGAAAGTAACGATTTCTTTGTACAATGCGGTCGATGTTTTTGACATAACTGATATATCCGTATTTTTGACGATCGAGTACATTAAATTTTCGGGTAATAGTAAAAACTTGTTTATTACTAAATCCTTTATTTTTTCAGAAACTTCTTTACTCTGCATACACAATAATTTACAAGTTTCCAATTTCTCTTTTGCTACCTCCAGAAGACATGATTTCATTTCTTTCAGAACAATTAGATTTTCTTCCGTCAATGATACACGTCCCATTCTATGTTCTTCAATACCTTTACCCGAAATCGACAGATAATTTTTCGAGAAACATTTAGATTTTACAATGTTGAAATTTGTGTTTAGATAAATTTTTGATTTACATGAATCATCCATGAACGATATCATTTCATCGATTAAATTTAAAAAATCAGTAAACTTAAAGATGTCCATCCATAAATACATAGTCTGTGTTATTATTATTACCACTGGTGAGTAACGATCGTTAATCCATGTGCAACCGATGTGTATGAATTTTCTATCTATAAAACTCAAATTGAATACAGATGTTCCCAGCATAACAAAATCGGGTTGAGATGGATACCGTGTGGATAATTTAACATTTTTTACACCTGCACTTATGTTCATATTGAATATCGCACTAATATACTTCACTAATCACACACGATTAAGACATACGACAACACAATAGGAGTTTTCTTACGTTCGACCTCGATTTATAGATATTTCTGAAGAGGGTGGGGAAGGATTTGAAATATGGTTGGTTGTTTATTCAAAGAAACAGAAATAATAAATCTCATTTGGTTGGAGAAGGGTGAAGGGTAATTTTATCTTTGCAAGTATACGGAGGGAGGCGGTGAAATATGTTATCAAATATAAAATGAGGCGCTAAAATACGTTTTATCAAATAGCTTCATTGATAAGCATTACATACACTCTCCTCTAACTATAATGTGATAACAGGTAAATGAGGCGCCAACGAGAGGCGCTAAAATGAGGCGCCAACGAGAGGCGCTAAAATGAGGCGCCAACGAGAGGCGCTAAATGAGGCGCTAAAATGAGTATATGGGGAGAGGCGGCCCCATATACACACATCAGACGCTTATTATAAGTTCGCGCAATTTAAATAGATGGTTTTTCATTCTACTATAAAATTTAAATTTTATAACAGTACTTTTAATGTTGAATGGTTTTTGAATATGCATCATTTTATATCTTTACATATATACTAGTAATTTCCATTCTTAGAGAGACGTTTTGAACATTGATTCAAGAGCCGATTAATAAATTAACAATGTGCCTCGTATACCAGTGAAATTAATTTAATTAACGCCTTTAAGGTTCTTCCATATATATATCATTGGTACCTCTTTTTATGAGTGGAGTGACTAGAGAAGATAGGATAAGGAACGAACTTATAAGAGGAAATATATATGTCAATTGTGGATAAGATGAGAGAAAATAGATTTGGATGGTTATTGAATGCGATATAAGGACAGATGATGTATGCATAGACGATGTGGTAGATTGTGTCAAGTGGAAGTTTAAAATAAGGCTAGGCCGACCCCAAGTTTTTGGGATTAAGGCGAGAAAAAGAAGAAGAATTTATTTAAATGTAATACATACATGCCATGTAGTAGTTGAATACATTCAACTTACATTCAATGATTTTACTTACAGGAAAGACTTAGTTAGGATGCCTACGTTTAAAAATTACTATAAAAACAAATTATAATTAATTGTAATTAAATTATAATTAAGAATAATATTTGCATTATTGTGTAATAAAGTGAATTGAAACTGCATTATTGTCAAATTATTTTACACCAATAAATATATTTCAATATCTACACATATTTTACAATTTTCTATTAAAATTAATCACTACAAACATGAATGTTAAATAATGAAAGGCTAACACTCACCAAATAAGTAAGTACCTAATATATTAAGCTCAAATATCTTTTTTAAATTTATACAGCTAATTATTCTATAGTAGTTCACTTAAATGTTATACAACATGCACAATGAATTTAAATTTAAACCTTTAAAATTGTTCTTTGAAAAATATTATAAGAAAGTAGTCTTAAACAGTGATAATATACCAAATTAAACATAATATATAATATAACACAGTAAAAATTTTACCAACATACAAAAAACAAAATTTTAATTTTGGAAAATTACAGTTATATTTTTTGTAATTAAAAATATTAAATAACCCTAAAATACTCAATTTTATGATTATAAAACATATCTTAAATTTTTGTATGGCTATTAAATGATGTAATGTAAATTAATAAAACATTTTTTTTTAATTTAGTATGAAAATTTAGTACCAAATATTAAATTTTGATAATAATATTATACTTATACTACATATTGTGTGTTTTCTTATATTATTATTTCACTGAATTTCCATAAATTCCAACCTCAACGAATAATTTTAATTGTGAATTGTATAACCAATGAAATACTTTTAAAAATCAACTTACTAGTTGGGCTTATGCTAATGAAAGTATTTCACCAAAAGCCATGGATAGCTATTTAAAAATTTCTCAAAACATGTGGTGGTCATGATGACATTTCTATGTCTTCAAAAACATTGCTAAAAACCCCTCTAAATACCATTATTAAAGTAGTAGGAAATAAGGGAAGTTACTGGCATAATGAACTGCACTAAAGTTTAATGTAATTTTTAGAAAAAATATAAAACTTATCTTGTAAAGGTCTAAATTGAACTAATGGTCAATATTGATGATTTATTTCTTACTAATTCATTGTGTAGAGAAATTTTATAATTACTATTTATTGTAAATTTATCAGAAAAGCTGAATATTTTTTTGCTTTTTTATGGTAATAGATAACTTAAATAGAAGTAATAGTAATAATTTCCTAGTAACTTTTGGTGTTTGAAAAGATTCTGCAATTGAAATATTCAGAACTTAATTAATTTTAATGATTTACTTTAACTAAATGAACCAATCAAAACAAAGTTGTTAAAAAGATTCACCCTATTGAGCGTATTATAAAATTTGATTATATTTGTAAAAATCAATTGTTAATTCAGGAGAAAAATAATCATTTTTTTTAGAAATGATTTATGTAGCAACATGTTACAAAACATTNGATTTATCTAGCAACATGTTACAAAACATTGTAATATTATAGTCTAGTAGTAGCACACACAAATAGAGTAAAAAAATTATTAAATTACAAAGTAAAATGATTTAATATGGTAGTTGAAACCTATCATATCAAACTTCATTCATTAATAAATATTTTGAAAACATTAGAAATTAATGATTTTAATTGTCTTTCTGGAGAACATGTAATAACTAACTGTTTAATTGATATTTTAGAATTTTTTTTCTATTTTTGAGGGTAATATCTTCAGCTACATACGAATTGTAGTCATTTGATGTATCGTTGAAAAAAGTAGGTCAAGTTAGAGCAGAGAAAATAAATGATAGTCACAAAAAAATATCTTCTCAGCTTTGCATCGAAGCTTAAACTTAAAATATAGTAAAATAATTTTAATACGAATAAGAAATTTCTTCTTGCAAGGGGCGACTAAAGTGATGGGATCCTTGATCTTTATTGAAGTTATTGAATCTAAATGAGATAAAAATCAAACGAGTTAAAAATTTATACTAACTTAAAAAGAATTAAGAAAAAATGCAAAAAATTCATTGCCATACGCGGGTTGGAACCTCGTACCCCAAGCGTGTAAAACATAAATTTNCCATTCGCGGGTTGGAACCTCGTACGGTTTTCTAATATTTTCAAAGTATTTATTGACGAATCAAGTTTGATATGATAGGTTTCAATTACATAATTAAATCATTTTACTTTGTAATTTAATAATTTTTTTACTGTATTCGTGTGTGCTACTACTAGACTATAATATTTAACTATTAACTATATAATATAATATTAGAATTTTTGTATATGACCTTATAAGGATAAAATAATAAAAAATTTGCTAAAAAAAAAATTTTTATTAGTTGATTTAAAAATGGTACTTTTGGCTGGCTAAATCAACGTTTGGTCCCACTGTGCGCTGTGGTAGTATTTGGGCAAAACGCGTCTGATTTTTCCGCCTTCATGTCCTGAACCCTATCAATTGCGATGCCTTCGGATTCGTCAATTGATAGGAACCTTGGACAAGGGATTGCGGCGGAGGAGGTGTTTGAAAATGCATCAATTACTTTGATGGATAGGTTAATAGAGACTAAATTGGAGAAGGAACGATTAAAGTCTGTCGATAGCTTAGATAGTGAAACGCTGGAGTATACCTCAAACTTATTGGAGGAGCTGGAGAAGTCTGTCAAGGAGGAAGTAGCTATGTTTGGAAGAAGGATAAATCAGGTGATAAATTTCATTAGGACACCCGCGGGCAGGAATTTTCACACCACTATTATGGGCTTAATAGTGGACTCGGACAGGATTTGCAAAAAGGTGAGCGAAGTCATGGATTTATCAGCAAACACGCGTAGCTCTTGTCAGAGAAAAATTATCGATGAATTAGAGAGCACTGTGGTACAAAAAACAACTCCGGATGAATCAAAATTAGACACCATTTACTCGGCGATAATAGATTTAAGGCAATCGGTGGGGAGGGCCGCCTGGAAGGGGAGAATCCAAACCCAAAACAAATTGTGCAATAAGTACAATCGGCGGGTCCTAGTGCTGCGGCCGGAGAACAAGGCGGCGTAAGTGCTTGGGTTGAAATAGTCGGTAGAAAGTCGAAGGAGAATATGAAGCCCATGGCAGTGAAGAAGAAAACACCAACTAATAAAACGCCGGCCATAATGGTTAAGCCTGAAGCTCTTCGTACGCAGATACATTGAGGAAGATTAGGGCGGAGCCAGCTCTTAAGGAGTTCTACCAAGACATTCATGCAATGCAAAAGTCGGAGGACGGCCACCTGCTAGTTGTGGTGAAGAGAGTTTCAGAACACGTTGAACATATTAATGCAGCAATCACCAAGGTAGTTGGTGAGTCCGGGCAGGTTAGGACGATGAAACCAACGGCAAGAATTAGAGTTTTTGGTTTGGATGAAATATCAACGGCTGAGGAGGTGATGGAGGCTGTTACTTATGTTACACAAGCATTCGGGTTACAATGCGACAACGACCCAGAGGACAACAGCTAGCGATTGTCACTCTTAGTGCGGAGGTGCCCAAGTTATTAATAGAAAAGAGACATATATGCGTTGGGTATGTGAGCTGCAAAGTGCGTTTGTGGTTAGACACGAAGAGATTCTTTAGGTGTCTTGCGTCCGGAGATGAGATCAGTGATTGTAAGAGCCTAGACCTCTCAAAGTTACGTCAGGAGGCTGTATTGTCTCAACAACAATGATACGAATTCTTCTGATAAATATGGGTGGAAGCAAAGCTGCACAAGACCTCATGATGAAGACGGCCAAACACTATGGAGCGGACGTTATGATTGTCAGTGAACAATATCGCAGTGGCAGTCAAGAAGAGGGCTGGTTAAGCGATCAGTCCGTGTCGGATCCATGACCTTTCACCTTTTTACCCATGACCTTTAACCTGTTGACTTTTGACCTGTGCCCTTTAACCTTTAACCTTTCACCGTTGACGTATGGCCTTGAACGTTTGACCTTTGACCTTTAACCTTTTGATATTTAACCTTTCGCCTTTGACCTTTTAACCTTTCACCTTTGACATATGACCTTTAAACTTTTGACCTTTAACCTTTTAAACTTTGACATATGACCTTTGACCTTTAACATTTAACATTTGACCTATGACCTTTAACCTTTGACCTATGACCTTTGATCTATGACCTTTAAACTATTGACCTTTGACCTTTAACCTTTTGATATTTGACCATTAACCTTTGACCTATAACCTTAAACCTTTTAAACTTTGACCTATGACCTTTGACCAAAGGGCTTTTATCTTTGGCCTTTGACTTTTAACCTTTTGACCTTTGATCTTTGAAGGTAGCTGGTTATAGCCACTTATCACCCAAACAGCAAGCCGACAAAATCATTGATAACATTCCAACGAAACACGTAGTAGAACCTTTTATGATCGGAGACGTGGTGTATTATAAAACA